CTTCGAGTGTCCATCTCAAGCACGAAACCATCCACAGCTGAACCCAAATCCGTCTTCCACCAGCGGGCCTCCCCTTCTTAACTCCTTTACCGCTTTAACATCCCAGAAACCCTTGGTTCTTAAAAGGCCCACTTCTCTCTGTGGGGGGTATGATTTATCTGTTCCTTCCACTAAGACTTCTCACCCTAAACCTCCTCCTCCTTCCTGAAAATCAGGACCTAGAAAAGGAAAGGCCAGGCTCCTCCACTTTTCTCCTATCCCAGGTAAGATTAAAGTGGGAATCCTGAATTAAAGCAAGTGTGGGGGACGGAACAGTCAGAAGATGGTCAGGATACCTCCGTTTTGGTCTTCTTTGGTGCATGGGTCTCTTCACTTTCACTCTCTGAGATCTCCTCACTCCGGCCCTGCTTGCTGACCTTTGGGGTGGAGGCTTCCTCTACTCGCGCCTTCTGTTAACGAGAACGGGAACATTCCTGTGCAGGCCCCACAATACATGGCTGGCTTGCCCCAAACCTCCACCACTGCCCTCTGCACACATACAGCCTTAGCCCCAGTGCCTGGGCCACCTGTGGGAGGACCTCAAGACAGAATACCTTGGCCGTCTGCCTAGACTTCTCAGCTTTGCCATCACTGCTGGACGTGCTGACCCCTCCAGGGGAGGCCCGGCCCCTCGATCTCAATTCTTCCCGGGGCCCAGGGGCCTCTTTCTTCCGTCCACTCCTCATTGACATCTGAAGGAGAAGAAAGGAAACAAAAGTTTTTTTACACTACATCTAACTTTAAGATGTGCCTTACTGCAATTTTTTCTCTCCAGGCCCGTCCCCCTACCTTCCCTGCCCCTAATCTTTCATGTCCCTCATTTAAGCTGTCACTCACTGAGTCTTTATTCTGTCGTGTCTTCATTCTTCAGGCTGTGGAGACCCCATTCTCCTCTGCCTGGGCAGCTGAATACAGAAACTTCCCTGCTTCACCCCAAGTTCCCCACAACTGTGGCCTGGGAAGCAGGAAGCAGGATCTCCAAGTTTCCAGCGTAGGCACCTGGAACTTGCAGGATCTGTTTTCAGTGAAGCCTGTTAGAAAAAGACCATCAAAATGTCCAAATCAGGGAATAGAGTCTGAGGGGGTTACCACAGCAAGCGCCCTAGCCTTGGCCTTTCAGTCAAGAAGTACAGGCCCGCCCTAGCTGGTTTGGCTCAGTGGATAGAGCGTCAGCCTGAGGACTGAAGGGCCCCAGGTTCGATTCCGGTCAAGGGCACATGCCTGGGTTGCAGGCTCAACCCCCAGTAGGGGGCGTGCAGGAGGCAACTGGTCAATGATTCACTCTCATCATTGATGTTTCTATCTTTCCTTCTCCCTTCCTCTCTGAAATCAATAAAGATATACTTTGAAAAATAAAATAAAAAGAAGTAGTGCAGGCCCCACAATACATGGCTGGCTTGCCCCATGTCTATAAGTGAATTACAATATCATCTCTTTCATCTCTGGGGAAGGCAATAAAACTCAGATGTATCTATGAGCCCCAATTCAGGAGATGACACTATTTTGCCCTTCATGATCCCTAGGAAATATTTGTGCACACACAAACTCCACAGAGCCTTACAAAAGAACATCAAGAAACGTAGCTAAAGTATTATTTATTGAGCACCCTCTTTATGTCAAGCCCTCACATACACAATTTAATATTTATAACCAACCCTGAAAAGTAGGTGTTCTTATTCCCATTACATAAGTGAGGAAACAGGCTCAAAGATTTGTGATTCTGACTTGCCAACTTCATGTGATGAACATACAGTGAGGAACCAGTGACAGCACCAAATCAAGCCCACCTCTCCCTGACTCCAAAGCCCAGGTTCTTTCTTTATACTTTATTCTCGTCAGAAGTTGGTTGAGATAATCCTCAGAAGACCTAGGTCAGCCCCAGAGATTTGAAAATAGTCTTTTTTCACATCAGAGTGAGTAGGAGAAGAATGTCCCATTCTACAATGCAAAGGAATGCAACCCTACCAATCCCAAGACAAAATCTACGTATCCCCAAAGTGCAGAATTTCACTTTTGAGAGCCTCATAGAGACCCCCCTCTCTAGTGCTTGGGTTCCCAAAGGCTAAAGGAAAAGGCAGGACTTTCGCTTTACCAATCAAATCAGTGAGTACCCAATACAGATTTGTGAGCCTATCCTCTCACTTGGCTTAGACGAGAACATACACCTCCTCACACCCTATCTATATCTATATATCTATATCTGTCTATACAGTCAGCTATTTTCATTTGCATTGGTTTGTACTTCCTGCTAAGTGTCATGTCTTTCCATACTACCAACCATATGATCTTTTGAGAGCAAAAATATTACCTTGCTACTGTTTTCTTCCTTTCTATATCCCCCACTGATGTCAAGTATATATGGGTGTTCTGTTCTTGACCTCTAAACCCACTAACTTTGTAGGTCTTCTTGGATGAAGTGCTGCTGGCCTCAGTGGGAACAGAGTAAGCTTACCTGTGTGTTCTGAGTTACGAGGCTTCGCTAAGGTAAATGGCATTTCCACATTCTAGATCATATTTTCCCCAAGGAATACAAAATAATCACTTCTTACCTCCACTGAACCATACTGAGGCAGGTAGTGAGGGGTGAGCCTAACCTTTCCAGGAAACTTAATAAGAATTTACTTGAGTAAAAAATAGATGGACCAAAGCCCCAGGTCATCTGAACTTACAACGGATGCTCTGCCCAATAAACCAGCCACTTCTCTTCAACTATAACTATTAGCATATTTTTTGTTGTGTAGATTGACTTTAAAATACTGTCAACCCAAAATGTCCAAATAAAACCCAAATATCGAAAGGGGAAGACAATCTTAACAGAAGCACACAGCAATGACCATGATGACTATTTGTGACAGGTATGTCTTTGCAAGCCCCTCTAGAGAAGAGCCTCTCTCTCCTTCCAGCACCAAACCTGCTTACAAGTCAGTCAGACCCAGGGAATCCAAAAGGCCACAGAAATGCAGGAATGTACCTGTGCAATCCCAGTGTGCCCCTCCCCATACTTCCACTTGTAAAATCAGTTGAAATCTGCCCTGGCTGGTTTCGCTCAGTGAATAGAGCGTCAGCCTGTGGACTGAAGGATCCTGGGTTTGATGCCGGTCAAGGGCACATACCCCAGTTGTGAGCTCAATCCCCAGTGTGGGCCATGCAAGAGGCAGCTGATCAATGATTCTCTCTCATCATTGATGTTTCTCTCTCTCTCCCTCTTCCTTCCTCTCTGAAACAATAAAAATATATTTTAAGAAATAAAATAAAATCAGCCGAAGTCTGATAAAATAAGCAATGAGTAGCTTTGAAGAAAAGCAGTCATTAAAAGGTAGGTAATCCTGGGGGAAGGAGGGGCGGGAGGGAGAGAGAAATTAAGGTTGTATTTATGTGTCTGAACCAGGGCGTGTTTTAACACCAGCAAGCTAAGCTACACTCATCTTGTAGCCAGTCACTCTAACATTCACAGAGCACTACTATGTGTCTGGCACACACAGCTCATTCACGTCATTGCTTCACTGCAAAGGAAATGA